AAAGACCTCTGTCTTTTGTCGCCTAGGGACCACAAGGAAGTTGCCATCTAGAAAAATATTGTCAAAACATAAGGAGCAAGTCCATGAGGAGCGGGATCATTTTGAAGTTGTTGCTGACAAAGAAATCTGTAGTGCTTTCCCATCACGTATGAAGAGGAAGTCTATTTTGTCAATATCCACAGATGGTCCACTGAAGGTGCAAAGGAGAACCATTGTTTACACTTGCCAGCTTCGTAAAGAAGCTAAGAAAGAGAAAGAAGCCATGCCGACCATGCAAGGAAGTCAAAGAGAAAAGTCAGACTTTGTGGAAACATCCTATCAGAGTTGTGGAAACATCCAAGAAGGGCTCACATCCGAAGAGAATGCTCAACTTCGCCTAGCAAAGTTAGAGGCCTTGGATGAGAAAAGATTAGAAGCAAAACAAAAATTGGAGTGCTATCAAGCTCGACTAGCTAGAGCCTTCAACAAGAAAGTGCGGCCACGATCATTCCAAGTGGGAGACTTAGTCCTAGCTGTTCGACGACCCATAATCCTCAACAAACGCATAGGCGGCAAGTTTACCTCAAAATGGAATGGGCCATATGTTCTGAAGGAAGCCTATTCAAGCGGCGCATACAAAATTGTCGATAAGGACGGTCTCAGAGTTGGTCCGATCAACGGAAAATTTCTGAAGCAGTACTTCCCATGAAAGTCGCCTACGCTCCTCGGCGCACGAGCCTAAACTGCAAGTCATGAAGCTCCTTAATGCACGAGCCTAAACCACATGCTGCTACGCTCCTCGACGTACGAGCCTAAACTGCAAGTCATGACGCTCCTCGACGTACGAGCCTAAACTGCAAGTCATGACGCTCCTCGACGTACGAGCCTAAACTGCAAGTCATGATGCTCCTCGACGCACGAGCCTAAACTGGAAGCATGAAGCTCCTTAATGCACGAGCCTAAACTGCATGCTGCTACGCTCCTCGACATACGAGCCTAAACTACAAGTCATGATGCTCCTTGATGCATGAGCTTAAACTGCACGTTGCTACACTCCTGGACCGCATGAGTCTAAACTGTGTACGGCCAAAAAAAAAGGGAGTCTGCTAGGTTGAAAACCTCGAAAGAGGCGGCCTAGGAAAAAGTCACGACCAAAAAAAAAACTCATCCCTCTGAACTACGTTATGACTTGATCCTCTTCATCGAGGTACGTAGGCAGTTTAGAGTTTCATTCTAAGTTCAGTCACATGAGTTTTAAAAAAATAAAAGTTTGGCGTCATCGGAGCATTACATTAATTCTTCCAAGTGTAGTGGCACATATCTATGAGGAAAAGAGACGATTTGCTTTGAAGTATAAAAGATGTTTTATTACTTCAATAATACAAAAGTTGATACATCAAAAAATGTGGAGACAAAAGGAATTAGACGTTTTCCTATACAAAAGCCTAAGTCATGAAAATGATCGTAAACTAGGCTTTGTGGCCGACTCGTCTTGAATGCTTCTTCCAAGTCCATATGACGTCTCCACATTTTAATAAACTATCATCAATGCCTCGTATATAAGAAGTCATCTCTTTTGAAAAACCTTCAATCACCACGGGAGCCGCTATTGATAAACTTCAAGACCGTCAACAAATCAAGTGCAACCGTTGGTGAAGAGGTGACTCCGCATCTTGTGTGACATCTCAGACTGACATCTGGACTCGTTGAACTTCTTCGCAAGTCTGCAAAAGATATAAACAAAGAGATAAGATTCATGATGATAGCCGAATCCATTACAAGGCTGTAGAATCAACTTCAAAAATATTTGTTAGGCTAACTAAGAGTGAATGGAGCTTCATATTCAACAAGATTATAGTTCTCGACGTCCGAATTTCATAGGATCAAACTGATGGTGATTTCGACGCTCCTAGTTCAAGATACAGTTTTTCTGGCCAAAAGCACGCAAACCTGAAAGTTCCCTGCGGTCAGTTGGACTTTTAATATTTTTCTGTTTTTAGCCCGAGAAGAGTTATGGGATGGAATTTTTATGTGATGCAGCTCTAGGAGTTTTCTTTCCAACAGAACAAACGGATTGTAATTCCGATACTCCTAGCTCAAGATACAATTATTTTCGCTGAAGGTACGCAAATTTGAAAGTTCACTGCAGTTAAATCGACGTCGCGAATTTTCTGTTGATAGCCCGAAAGGAGTTCTGCCATGAAATTTATAGGTCCTTCAGGTCTCTGAGTTTTCTTTCTAACGGTGAAAATGGATTGTAATTCCGACACTTGTAGCTCGAGATATGAATTTTTCCACTATAGTGCGCAAAGCTGAAAAGCAATTTCGTGGACAGATGGGTCAAGTTCAGAAAGTTGCTGCGGACAATCTACTTGGAATTCTTCTATGATATCTTCA